GACAGATAGACAGAGAGATAGATAGATAGATAGATAGGTAGATAGCTAGGTAGCTAGATAGATAGATAGACAGATAGGTAGTCAGAGAAAGAGAGAGAAAGAGTGAGAGAGATCAATCACCTTTCGATCCATCAGTGGCTTCGCTCTGCCATCCCTGATTCACCACAACCAACCCCTCCTATAGGTTTCCTATTTTTGAAACTTCCGCCACCGCCTTGTGCGGTACTACTGGTATAAAATTATGAATATAAATTGTATCTATATGTTTGATGAATTCTTATGTGCAATGGATTGACCTGCATGATTCCATATCATTCCATATCATTCCATATCATTCCATATCATTCCACATCATTCCATATCATTCCATATCATTCCATATCATTCCATATCATTCCATCATATCCAGGACCAGTCTGGCACGAACTTGGGACGTGGAGGTGTTTGCAGCGTACAGCATGGAACTCGTCAAGCGCAAGTGATGGTTTTGGCGCCAAACTCTTGGAGTTCCATAAGTGCCATGGTTGTCAACATTTGTCAACATTTGTTAACATTTGTGAACCATTGATGTTATTCATATTATGCTTCATATGCTGACTATGCTTCATATTAGCTGTTGATGTTGTGAGTTGTAACTGAGGGTTTCACCAGTGGAGTATGGAAAACCTCAAATGTTTTGGGAGCAGCTCATGGGATGGAGCAGATGGGAAGTCACCTTTTTTCCTCCCGTAGGGAGTCACTCAAGAGTCAGCCCGTAGGGCCGTAGGGTACATCAATGTGACCAACGCTGGATCAATGGTAGACCAATAGCTGTATGTTCTTGTACAGGTCAATCAGTGAGATCCGTGCTTCTGCAAGTTTCCAATTCTCGTGGTGAACTCCATCAACAGTGGAGTGTGCTCAAGTGTAACCTTATGAAAATCTTACCAGCAAACTCTGAGGCTTGTTGAATACAGTATTTATTTTTGTTATTTTTTTGTCGTTTGGTTTTATCATTTTTTTGTCATTCCTGTTTTGCGGTGTCATTTGTTTGTCATTTTTTGGTCATTTTTCTGCCATTTTGTTGTCATTTTGGTGTCATTTGTTTGTCATTTTCTTGTCGTTTTCTCATCCAGCGCGGGTGGCTTGATCCGGAGCCGAGCTGGAAAGTCCAAAAACGCGACATGTTCTTGTCGTTTTCTCATCCGGATCCGGCAAGCGGTGAGGGTGGCAAACCCGGTCTAGGAAACGCAAAAAAAAATGCAAAAAAATGACTCCCGGTTTGGGAAATGCAAAAAACATGCCCAAAAAATGACTCCCAGTCTGGGAAATGCAACAAAAAATGCAAAAAACAAATGCAAAAAAAATGCAAAGAAAATGCAAACAAAATGCAAAAAAATGACTCGCGTGCTGGTAAAGTTGCGTTTTTGGAGTTTCCAGGTCCTCGGGCCTGAGCCCCCCCCCCCCGGCCCCCCACCCGGTTTTTGAGCCGGCCCTGCACCCCAGCCGGGAGACAACTCCTCGTCCAGGCAAGCTCCCCTGCCCTATCCTTCTTCACCGCCGGCTGGCTTTCCAAGAGTTTCTGCACTTGTTCCTTGTTTTTGGTGCTGCCACGAGGTAACAAAAGGTCTGTCATGGTAGTCATTTTCTAAGGATTTTTTTTCATTTCCCTTTCCAAAATGACAATAAAATGACAAACAAATGACAACAAAATGACCGCAAAATGACAAACAAATGACAAAAAAATGACAAATTACTTTACTTCGTGTGATCCCCACCATGACATTTATACATTTTGTTACTGGCAAATCTTCTGGCATTCTATCTGACATTTTATCTGGCATTCTATCTGGCATACCTTCTGGCATTCTATCTGGCATATCTTCTGGCATTCTATCTGGCAATATCTTCTGCATTCTACCTGCCTCTCTTCTGGATATGTTCTGGCATATCTTCTGGCTTCTATCTGGCATTCTATCTGGCATATCTCTGGTCATTTATCTGGCAAATCTTCTTGCATCCTGATCTGGCAAACTTTCTGTGCAACGGGTTAACCTGTCATACCTTCTGAACATTCCTATCTGTGGCAAAATATCTTCTGACATTTTTTCTGGCATTCTATCTGGCATATCTTCTGACATTCTATCTGACATATCTTCTGACATTCTTTCTGGCATATCTTCTGACATTCTGTCTGGCATATCTTCTGACATTCTTTCTGACATTCTTTCTGGCATTCTATCTGGCAGATCTTCTGACATTCTATTTGACATCTTTTCTCACATTCTTCCCGTTGAGGTCCGGCAGTGCCCACTGCGATCTGGAAGTCGCGGTTGAGGTCCGGCAGTGCCGACTGCGATCTGGAAGTCGCGGTTGAGGTCCGGCAGTGCCCACTGCGATCTGGAAGTCGCGGTTGAGGTCCGGCAGTGCCGACTGCGATCTGGAAGTCGCGGTTGAGGTCCGGCAGTGCCCACTGCGATCTGGAAGTCGCGGTTGAGGTCCGGCAGTGCCCACTGCGATCTGGAAGTCGCGGTTGAGGTCCGGCAGTGTGCACTGGGATCTGGAGCTCGCGGTGGAGGTCCGGCAGTGCCCACTGGGATCTGGAGCTCGCGGTGGAGGTCCGGCTGTGCCCACTGGGATCTGGACTGCGAGGAGGAGGCGGCGGGTGAGGAGGCGGAGGAGGCGGAGGAGGAGGAGAACAGCTCTGATAAAATCTAACAACCCTCACCTGGCAGGTGGGGAATAAATGACAACGCAAATCCAAAATGACAAACCTGAATGACAAAAAAAATGACAACAAAATGACAAAATAAATATGCTTGATTTTCCAGTGTTTGCAGGCCCAAGATTTTCCTAAGTGTAACCCAAGAGATTGTGTGTAGCTGCTAGGGAACAGATTGCTTGCCTTTGCCGTTGTAAAGATGAGTGTGTGACTCCGCTGTGTGACCATATGTTCTGATCATACCTCGAGGCTACAGCTACGGCGCGAGTACTGTGCTGTATGCTACTGTGGGCGAACGTTCTTCCTTGCTTGCTGTGAAGGGAGGCAGTGGAGTTTCTCCAAGTAGAAGCTTGGTGCGGAGCTTCTAGTGACTTCGTAGAGATATACTGAGAAAGCAAATATGCACAAAATCCTATGATACATGAATCCTTGTACTTATATGTGATATTGTATGATGCATGTTTGTATATAGATATATCATACCATACCTACCTGTATGTATTTGCAATATTTTACGCAATTGATGCAGCGAGAGGTGTAATTTTTGCAATGGTCAATGACGAACATATATGATTATTATGATTAGCATATAATATATATATATACTGTACAATATAATATATCATACAATATCATACATATTTGATATATATATATATATCTATATATATATATCATAATGTCATACATATATATATACATACATCATATATATATCACATATATATACACATATATCATATATAATTTTTATATACATATATCATAAATTAATATATATATATATATCATATATATATATCACATACATATATATATATATCATATATATATGTATATCATATATATATATATATATATATCACATATATATGTGCATGGTAATCAGAATCATACATACTGGCACACGCACACACCCGATAAATTAGTGAATATATGTATCTACATACTCGTACATATCATATCTAGAGACGTGCGTGTGTGTGTGCAGGTGCATTGTGTGCGCGTATGGGTGTAAATATAAATAATAAATAAATGAATGAATAAATAAATAAATACATCTCCCTCTCCCTATATATATATATATACATACGTTACTGGAAGATGTAGAGACACACACATAATTATATATACACTATGCAGTTTGAATGACTTTTGGAAGCTACATTCAAATAACTTGCGGCAATGCCTGGCTATGCAAAGACCCGCAATACTTGCCAAGCTGGAAAGTGTTCTTGTGACTGACATTTTGCATAACATCAGTCCTTTCTGCTTTGTCAGAGCGATCCGCGTCAGCTGCACCACTTCTGTGTCCTGTTAGTTTTGGGACTTACTCACGGGTTTGAAGGAGATCATTTACGCAAGAGGTACTTCACTTTGTGAATGTTACCGTTGCTATGAACTGATGTTGTAAGATGTGTGTGTGTGTTTTTTGCCAAAGGCGAACGGCAGCAAGCACTGCTGTCAAATACTTCATGAGAAGCATAGTTTCCTATATAAATGGACACAGCACCCCACACTTTGACTGCCAACAATTTAGAGGCTGCAGATATCTGATATCTGCAGATATGATTTTAAACAAGTTTCGAAAATACTTTGAATCTTGGTTAGTTCAGACATTGTACATGTGGTTTGGCTTCAAGAGCCTCACGGTCGCCTTAGGATATTCAGCTTCTTGTGCCGGGGGGGCGTTTGTGTTCGATGAGCTCACTGGAGTTGCTACCTGGGAAGGCCACTGGGCAAAACTTCTCCGGATCAAGAAGTTGATCGAGGTTGATACAAAAGTTTGGTCAGGCGAAAGTTACAAGACAACCTGCATTGCAGCATTACTTCCTGTTGCCATGCTAGTCGCAAGATGCTTACTCACAGGGGATAAGAATACATACATGTATACCCGTGCCATCTAACTCATAAATTGATAGACATATACATATAATTACATATATATATATATACACATATATATATATATATGTATGTATAGTTGCTGGTAGTGATAGATGTAATGCAGATTCTAGTAGATAGCTGTGCATGACTGCACATGTAAATGTATAGACTATGCATATAGCTATAGCTATACATCGATGTGGCCCTGATTCAGATGTGCTAGGCATGAGATTGAAAGTTCATGATATTTATGCATTGGGGTCAAATTTGCATATTCTTGCGTGTGCTCTAGAAACAGTCTGTAGCAAGACTCCCATGAACCCTTTGAGATGCCTCGAGAGACCCTTTAGCCTTTTCGCAATTCAAAATTGAAGGCAGCTTTTCAAGCAAGGTTTAGATGGCTTCAGCATGCTTCAGCTGTACCGCGCTGGCTTAAAACCAAGGTCACGAAATTTTTGCTTTGGATGTGAAAACCGGTGATTTGCAAATGCAGCCAGAGCAATCGTTGACCAAAACACTGGATGCGACTGACGTGACCCGGTGCAAGTAGTTTGAATCAACACGGCACCATCGTGTAATTGCCTACGAAGCAGAGTCTCAACACAGTGTGTGGTGCGCACGTTGTGGGCACCACTTTTTGTTCGATGTTCAAACGATTCCTTTGTTTCATCCTATTGAGGGCTACTTTGACTGGCTTTCTTCTCAGATTTGCATTACGGCTTTGAAAGCTGCCGAAAGCTAAATTTCTACCTATTAACACAGTTGACATGTCGACTTTGTTCTTACTTGGTGTCGAGATTGCGCAGTTTCTCGTGTTAGACATTCCTGGCTTTTTGGAATTGAAAGTTGAACTGACTACAGCATTTGAAAAAGCTTGAAAGTGGATCCTTTCGGCTGTTAGAAGATGTTAGAAGAGGTCGTTAGATCGTTTGGCCTGGGTTGAGCAGCCAGCATGATGCATCTCAGGTGGATGCGGTGCGCCGGAAGATAAATCTGCAGCTTGTTGCACTGATTGCGTACACATACGTGAGAAGGTATTGCAATCATGTATGTATTTATAAATACGTAAATGCTCATGTGTATATGATAATTTTATCATAATTAACATGTATATATATATATATATACTATACATACATATATAATCGTGGATATATATATATATAATTATATACATACATATATACATACATTCATTCATACACACAACACAACAAAATACAATACAATTACAATACAAATACAATACAAAACAATACAATACAAATACACTACAGTACAATACATTACATTACATTACATTAAATTACATACGTACGTACGTACGTACGTACATACATACATACATACGTATCATGCATCTAGATATGAAAATAGATGTATGTATATACTTATATAATATGTACTGTAGTTTTAATTCTATATATATATATATACATTAAACTATATAACATTTACATATTCTACATTTGAGTGTTGTGAGCTCGCCATTTTTCTTCTTTCTGGATTTATCCTGTGAGTGTGGAGACAAAGCATTTGCAATTGCTTGATGGTCGAAGGTCACTCGTGCAAGAAGTGCGATGTACCCAGGAAAGAGGGCTTTCAAAGACAGATATATGGTTCAGTACGGTTCACAAAAGTGATTTTCCAAAGAAGGATCGAGGGGGGGGAGAGGGAGAGAGAGTGAGAGAGAGAGAGAGAGAGACAGAGAGAGAGAGAGAGAGAGAGGAGAGAGAGAGGAGAGAGAGAGGAGAGAGAGAGGAAGAGAGAGATACCGATACTTGCATCTCTTTCTCTCTCGCTTTCTCTCTCTCTCTAGCTCGCTCTCGCGCTAACAGGCTGAAGTCGGGCGCGATCTACGCAGTCGCTATGCATGCGCGATCATCTGCTCTCTCGCTCGACGAGTGAGATCTCGCAGTGAGAGATAGTGTACCTCTACTGATCTCTATCTTCATTGGAGCTCTGCTGCTCTCTCTCTCCATTTCTCTCTCTCTCTCTTCATCTCTCTCTTCGTACTCTCTCATTGCTGATCTCTCTCTCTCATACTCGGCTTACTTCTCGGGGGAAGGCTCGTCTCTTGCTCGATAGAGGAGAGAGAGAAGAGAGAGAGAAGAGAGAGAGAGAGAAGAGAGAGAGAGAGAGTGGGCCAGCGCATGTCCATTTAGAGAACATGTTTCAAGCAAAACACAGTAGCGGACGAAAGCCTTGCAGCTCATGACATGTCCTGACAAATGAATATCCGATATCCATCTATCATTCCTCCATAGCAAGATGTTCGCACCAACCGCTGTTCAAAGAAGAATGTCAAAAGATCCCAACTCATTGTATGAAGTGTGGGGAGTGTGGAATGGAACATTTTATGCTCCCCGCAAAATGCAGCATTCCTAAAAAAGGATTGCATACTATGTACAACGCTACATTTGCTATAGAAATCAAACGTGCAGTATTCCCAAAAGGGATTCCAAGTTACTCCATTGCCTGCCCCATTACCTTGAAGCAATTGCATCATCCTTGAAGGGGACTGTATCCTTTTTTCAACAAGAAGCGAGGTCCTTCGAGTTAGTCCTACATTCCCAGCAATAGCTGCGCCACACATCAGCAAAGAAAACAAATATTCCTTACTTTGACAAGGAGGTGCAATTTGCCTCAAGAACATGCAATCTTACACAAGATCGTGTACAAGTGCGTGTGTCAGCATTTGCCATTTGACAAACTAGATGCCACTTAGTAGAAGGAAGAACCAAATTTTTAAACTTAGCATGTGCAATTGGCTTTGCAGACGAGAAATTATCTCAAAGCATCGGAAAAATGTAAGTTGTATCATTGGATATCATGAGTTTTCCATTGCTACTTGAATCGGAACATTACTGAATGGAATTTAATTTCAATGCTGCATTGCAGAGAGGATCCAAGCACATCTAAGCACCACATATATAGATGTGATTTATTGTGATTTTGTGGTTCCCCTATTAAAGCAGATTTGCCAACTGCTGAGGCAATGCACCATTTTTGGTCACTACGAATGGCTTCCAGCTGGGCAAGGACCCGTGTTGACCCATTCTTTGCAGTTGGAATTGAGAGATCAGAACCTTGGTCACAAACGAAGCACTGTCGATTCCGTCGATGCTGTGTGAGTCTTTTGGAATCGCATTACGCAATCCTGCTCAGCTATTCACGGACAACATCTCACAACCGGACAGAAACATGTGAGTTAACATTTGGGTTAAAACAGGTGTGGTGCTGAATCTTGGCAATTGCCCGCTTAGAGATTCGGTATTGCCTTGGCGGCAAAGAGGGTTGGCTGCATCGAGTAAGTGAACTCAGATAGATATGGAATGGTACAGGCATGCATATATGACAATAGTCAAATACACGATCCGTACCAGTGTATAGAAGTGCATCGCGCAGGCGACGCATTTTCGCATAGTTACATGATACGCGTATGTTCATTGTGAATGAACATGAACAAATTGAAATTATGAGAGGCCAGCCCTCGTGTTGAAATTTCGCCTGTTTTGGCTCAAGATGGGCCAAGACAGCGAGCACGTGGAAAACAAGCGTGCTGGGTGTTTGCTAGAGATAATTTGTCAAAGTGGTAGCGGAGCTGCAGCTCCGATAGCAGGGTTCCTTGGGAAGTGTGCCCGATGGCGACTGAACAGCAGATTCAGGAAATGAATCAAAGGTTGATGCAGCTAGGGCAGATGCTGCAGGAAGCGCGAGATAGAGAAGCAGCTCTAGAGACGAGGCTGCAAGGGGTTGAAATGGCAGGACAATCCATTGGACCCGCAATCCAAGCTCTAGCAACATCCCAAACAGAACTGGCCAATGCGACGAAAAGAGACGAAAAGAAAACCATGACACTGATCGACAACCGTGGCGTAGGAAAACTTGAAAAGTACACAGGAAAGGACAATGAAGGCTTCTTGCGTTGGAAAATCAAGTTGGAGTCATTCATCTATTCAATTTTCCCCGAGTTGGAAAAGGTTTTGACATGGGCAGAAGACCAAGATTCCACTCTGACTATGGATCGGGCCCGTGCCGCTTTCGGATAGGCACGGCCGAGCCAGTGGATGACTTGGAAGAGATCATCTCAAGTATATGGAGTGTTGCAGAATCTACTTGAGGGAGAACCTTTCATGATAGTACGAAACACGGAAAGGGGAAACGGCTTTGAATCATGGAGAAGACTCAACAGACGATACGACCCATCCACAGGAGTAAAGAAATCATCCCTTTTGAGACACATCCTATCCCCTGGAAGATGTAAACTTGAAGCACAAAGTGAGAAGATAGAAGGATGGATGGAGCTGGTGAATCGATACGATCCCGAAAGTCACCCACAGGAACAAGACAAGCTTTGGCAGATGACATAAAGATGTCGATACTAGAAGGTATGTGCCCAGCAGAAGGAGAAAGACACCTCCAGCTAAACAGGTCGAAATTTCTGTTCTCTGACGACATGCACTCTGAGCTGGCAACCTACTTGGAGGCCCGCGTTGGTGTGAAGCTCAAGATAGAGCCACTTGGAAGCAGCAAGCGTGGGGAAGACGACACGGAGATTGGAGCATGTGGAAAAGGTGGTAAAGGTAAAGGAAAGAGTAAAGGTAAAGGAGGTAAGAACAAAGGAAAGGAGATAAAGGAAAAGGTAAGGGTAAACACATGTCAAAGAATGGAAAAGGTTCCCGTGGCAAGTCTGGCTCAAATTTCGGCAGCCGTGGTTTGTTTCAACTGTGGCAAGCCGGGACACATGCAGCGAGACTGCAGAGCACCAAAGCAGAACAACAACAGCAGTAGCAACAAAGGCAAAGGAAAAGGAGGAAACAAAGGTAAGAACAAGAGTGTTAACAACGTAGAAGAAAACAACCAACAAACAGAACCTGAAGCTGAAACCGGATACCTCGAGCTAGCCATGTTGGGTGGCACATCGGAAGATAAAAGACCAGCTGAAGGTGAACAACCAGTACCTGATGTTGGACTTCCGGAAGAAACTCGCAAAGCTGCTCAGAGACGGTACAGAAGGCTGTTGAAAGTGGGTACAAGACTGACCTGGAGAGACCTTCCAGTGACCCGATACAGGCAGAGGCTGGCTGCGTCTATCGATGCAGCACGCATTGTGAAAGGCTCCGTAGGCCAATGGATGGCCAAGAAGGTTCTGGAGCGGGAAAACCTTGATGACACCTGCTCCAGTTGTGACGAGAGGTCGAAGCCCAGTACGGTAGCAGCCATGGAATACGCCACCAAGAGAGCGCAAGCAAAACGAATGTCCTCAGGTGCCTACGACGTTCTCCGAGAAGAAGCGGAAGAGGAGCCCGATGATGTCGAAGATTCCGAAGAGCCGGAAGATGAAGAAGTCCAAGAAATCGAGCAGGAGGATGAAGACGAAGGTGAAGAAGCCGACGACGAAGGTGCAGATGAAGATGACAAACGTCAAGAAGAGTATCTCCGAGCCTATGAAGAGATTTCAGCGGATGAGGAAAACCGAGAGAAAATCTTGGGAACTCTTGCAGAGGCCAGAGCACTGTTGGATGAAGGTCAGATGCCGGCGATGGAAGAAAAGAAACCCAAGGAAAAGTCGAGCGGAAGCACAGAGGGAATGGATGCGGTTTTGCCTGATTCAGGCAGGGCTGTGACTCCAGTGACCTCAGTGCTGATGCACGGATCCATAGAGATAATGGAAACTGGAAAGCTCACGATGGAGAAGAACAAGCTCACCCAATACCTCGAGGAAGCTGAAGATGAAGAGAGTGCCAAAGGCATCGAGGCACAAATCAAGGAAGTTGACATCAAGCTGAAGACGATGAAGGAGAGTACACACGAGAACAAGATCGCTTGGCACGACGCTACGACGCTAGGTATCACCGAGCAGTTGCTGCCGGTGTATCTCATAGCGCGGCATGGAGAAAGGAGAAAGGACGACGACGTGCACATCTACACCGTCAACTGAGTAGGAAAGACAGAGCGCAGGAAAGAAGAAGGTTGGACGCACTTTGGACCACAGAAGAATTGGTTGGTGAAGGCATCGAAACAGAGGTTGTCAACCCCACTGGAGAAGGAATGCAAGTGTTGCAAAGAGGAAAGAAATCAGAAGGACACAAAGAAAGGTTGACGTTCAGAGGATTTCAAGGACGAGCCTTCCAAGAGTTCACACAGGAAAGCCAAGAAGATGAGAAGGAAGTGATGGAACGGAAAAGGGTGAACATCTTCGCAAAAGGATCAAAGAAGAGGACTCCAGCAAAGAATAAGAAGAAGAGAAATGAGAAGAAGAAGTTGAGGAGAAGGAAACAAGAAGCACGCAGAGCTTTGGCATGGTAAGGACAATGCAAAAGAGACCCATGTCCATTCAGTCACGATGTGAAGAAGATCGAAGAGTTGAAGACGACGCACTAGTAGGTATTTCCTGCACGGTACTTGCAGATTCGCAGACGAGTGTCGGTTGATGCACCAAGAGGAGGAAAAGGAGTTAGTGCGAATGCAGAAGAAAGTGAAGGAACTGTTCGAGAAAAGCAAAAGAGTCTATCTACCCCATGGATCCACCAAAAGAAGTTCCAAAGAAGAAGGCCCAAAGAGGAAGATGTGAAAGAAGAACGCGAAACAAGCCCAAGGTCCAGTTCAATAAGTTCGAGAATTGTGGAAACGGAAGAAGTCAAAGGACTTCAGGATTGGAGATCGAGGCAGCCCGAAGACATGTTTCAAAATGCGCCATGGCAACAAGGCCAAGGCAAAGGCAAAGGCTATGGCAGAAAAAGAGACGAAAGGGAGTTGCTCTCGTTCGGTTCGACCGGGGGTGAACCAGACATTCAAGGTTGTCATTTTTGACGCGGGTGCAGCAGTTTCCACAGTTCCCCGAAAAGACTTTGAAGGGTACATAAGCGGGGAACCCCGCACCACCAAGTATAAACGGCCTCAGGTGAACTTCTTGAAGATCACGATCACGGTCAAGTGAAGCTCTACGGCACGGACCAGGACTATGAGGACAAGTCTATGACGGCACGAGTCACCGACGTTCACAAAATTTTGGCAAGCGGCAGTGAAGTGTGTAAGAAGAACTTGGCTGTGTTAGATTCAAATGGGGGGGCAGATAATCCCGGGTAATAGCAAAGCATCAAAGAGGACTCAAGCGTATGTGGAAAAAGTATTGGCTGAAGAAGATTGTAAGCCAACAAAGATGCGAGTCGAAAAGGGTGTATCCGTGTTCGACTATTGGGTCGACGAAGAAACCACCGAAAAGAAAGCAAACGCAAGTTCGGGAAACTGACGGCAGGCCTAGCTGTAAGCCCGGTAGCTGTGGAAGAAGTGGAAACGGGGGAGTCTGGGGCCCCCGCCGGTTCGGCGGAGAACCCGGAAGAACCCACAGAGGTACAAAAAGGCCGAGGGTTGCGAAAAGCGTTGCAACACCAACGGCCCAAGAATTCGAGGAACATCAAGCAAGCGCTCATGCGGTGCACAGGTCTTCGTGTGTACATTGCATGCGGGCTCGAGCAGCTGCAGCTCGAGACCAAACAGTTTCACACGATGAGGAGAGTGAAGTACCAGTGATAACTCTCGATTACTGTTTCTTCGGAGAAAAGGAAGGAGAAACAGCGAACTTAGAAGTGAAGATAGTGAAGGACTGTAGATCCAAGATGACCTGGGCTACCACCATTCCTACGAAAGGACCAGATCTGTTCTCCGTGAACTTTCTGCTATCCTGCATCAACGAGACTGGCTATCGCAGAATCATTTTGAAAAGTGATAATGAACCAGAAATCCCTGCACTTAAGAGAGAAGTAAAGGTGCAAGCAAAGGATGTCGAAATAGTGTTGCAGGAGGCCCCAACAGGGGACCACAGTGCGAATGGTGCTGTAAAAGTAGCGGTCAGGGATCAGAAAAGACAGGTTCGAGCACACTTAAACGAAGTCGAAGAGAACCTCTATAGGAAAATTGGACGACACTCATCCTATTTTGACTTGGCCGAGTCGACACGCGGCATTTTGCCTGAGTCGATTCTCAATCAAAGATGATGGGGGAACTCCCTACCAGAAGCTGACTGGAAGAAAGTGGAACAGACCACTGGTGAGGTTCGGAGAAAGGATTTTCTTCAGACCT